AGAGAGATAGGGGAAAATTGGGTATAAAAGATGACAGCAGAATAAGACAGTTATTCAAGTGCCTTTATGCTACACATTTACCAAACTGTATTAAAACTACATATCTATTTTTATTTCTTTCTTTATAGTTTATATAACACGACTGTATATTTACGAACGTTAATTAATTTATTGATATAGTCTCCTTAACCTGAGCAACAAGCTTTTCCTCGGTTCAACATGGATCATCACACACATACACATATATCACATATGTATTGTACGTGTATATGAAGATACACACTTGCTTGCTGATGATTGCATAAGTGACATTTACGACATTTGTAAAGGTAATTATCGACAAAGAATACGGACGACCATTGTCGACCACATCTATTCATTGTTGCCCAGCGGATCGTTCTTCTTATTGTACCTTATACTAATGTAATTATAATAAAATCATATGTTATGTAATAATTATAGTTTAAATATATATAAACAATCCTGTTCCAACATTGATTTTACAATGGTAATTTTGCACCGTACTATCTGTGATTTTAAAGAAGAAACTCATTACCTTCGTGCGATCATAGAATGTATTATATATCCCGAATTTTCACTTTACACGATTAAGTCATGACGCCTCATATTTTTATATTAACAATACTCTTTCAGAAAAATGAAATATCTTTAAATATCCTGAATACAAAATGGACTTTGATATTAGTATATTCGAGATAATCAAAGCGCAAACTGATGGCTCGCAAATCCATTTTTATTTGATGATACAATACGATTTATATTATGATTGCATAAGATCTTAAAAACATTACAAAGGTTAAATAATAAAGAGCATACAGCCACGACTAAGGATGTAAATAAGTTATATATTATTTCAATATTTTAGTGGCTACCATTAAGAAAATTAAACTTTTCAGGAGCATATAACCAACCTTCGTTGTTTAGAAGTCATATATTATAAAAAACTAGTACAATTTGTATACGTTTCGGTCAATATTTGACCATCTTCAGTACATTTCTAATAACATTATATTAAACCGAAATCAATCGATAGTAATCCTAATCTAAAAACGCAAAACATTTTCGCAAAACATTTAAATAGAAATATCGCATCTTTTAGAAAAAAAGCGTGTGAAGATAAATTTAATAATCACACAACAGTTCGCAATATTTAATATGGTGACATACATTTTAAATATAATTATCGCGTTTCTTTGAAAAAAGGCGTGTAAAGATAATTTTAGCATTAATACAACGGTTCGCAACATTTGATATGGTGACGTACAAATCTTCATTATTAATTATTCAATGAATTTCCGTATTGGTATGTCTACTATTGATTTAATGTCAAGAGGTACGATTTTCTTCTTGATCTGACTCCGACTTTTTTCTATATGAATACAAGACCAATTTAAGACTTTTTTAAGTTTTTATTGGACTCTCTACATGTATTCAATACCATGATCAGACCCACAGGAGACACGCAAGTGGTCAGTTCTATGTGTGAATTAAATATGACAATTAGAATCTGATTAATTTTTTCAGAATTTAAAAAAATTTTTTTTGTGTTAGAAATATTATTGATTGTATTATTTAATATGTTAATAATAAATTATTTGTTTTGATGAATAAATTAATTACAACCGAAAGAAAAAAGTGAATAAAACGGAGAAGGGAAGCAAAGAAATTAAATAATAATTTTCAAAAACTTACACGTATCTCACTGTACACATCTCACTGTTATTACACACTTACATGTTATTAATTATAACGTACTTTTCTTTGTATGTCGAGAGTCCGAAATTCGGTCTATTTATACTTTTCACCTAGAGAGAGGACGGGAGGGGAGAAGGGGGTTTTTGACAAGAGAATTGAGTAAGAAGGGATAGAGATATTATTTGAGGAGAGGGAGGTATACGTCAGGGAACCGATCGGTATCACTTTGCTTATTTAAGGTATCTGTATGCATTTTTATGTAGATCATTTCTGAAATGCTTCTTTTAAAAAAAGACTGTTCTAAATCTAAAATTTCAGTGTTATTCCAATCCATAACATGTCCATCACTTATTTGATGATTTGAAATTACAGACAGCGATTCAACCGGTTTTTTGATATCGTTAATATGTTCTTTTAAGCGTGTTTTTAATTTTCGTTTCGTTTGGCCCACATATGTATTATTACATTCTTTACAGTCTATTTTGTATACTACGCCCGATTGATCATCTTTACTTATTTTGTCCTTGCCTAGAGTAATAAATTTATTAAGACTATTTAATGGTTTGTACACCGGTTGGAGGTTGTATTTTTTCAAAATTCCTTTGAATTTATTTGAAGTCTTTTTTAAAAATGGTATAATAAAATAATTTGTCTTTTTTGTTAATTCATCATCAAAGTTCTGATCCATGTTATTTATTATTTCGAAATTATATTTGTTGGAAAGTATAATAATTCTATCTTGGATGACCTTAAATAACATTTGTAAGGGATAACCGTTGTCTAGGAGGGAGCTAATTAAGGATTCCATGTTTTTTTGTTGGAATTTGGGATGTGAAAGAAATAAGACCTTGTCCACCAAACTCGTCACCATACCTCTCTTTTGTGAAAACGGGTGGTTTGAAAAGAAATTGAGGTATCTACCCGAATTAGTTGGTTTTTTATACAGATCACAAATGATGTAACCATCCTCGTATATTAATTTTAAGTCTAAAAAATTGATACTACACTCATCACCATGATCGACCGTAAATTTAATGCGTTCATGATATGCATTAAAAGAATCTAATATATCGTTAATTTTGTTTTTTGAAGCTGCAAGTACAATGTCATCTACATATCTATAATAAACCGGTATGTGTGTAATTAAATTTTGAAAAACATTTTTTTCCAAATCCTGAATCACTAAGTCAGCCAAGATAGGTGATAACGGAGATCCCATGGGCAACCCAAAAATCTGCTCATAATACTTATCATTGAACATAAAAAAAGTGGATTTTAAAATAATTGTGATCGCGTTCTCAAATTCCGGAAGAGGCATAGACGTGTTGTTTTCTATCTCTTTCCACCTACTTAGCACACTTTCCACGGCCAGCTCAAGGGGAATGTTCGAATACATGGATGAAATATCGAAGGAAACAATTTTGTAATCTTCTGGTATCGGTAATCCATTAATTTTTCCGACCAATTCTAAACTATTTTTTATGTGTCCAAATTTGTCTTTTAAATTTAAGCTTTTATTGATAATGTTCTTTAAAAAGATTGCTAGATTGTGAAAGGGGCTATTTATACAACTCACAATTATTCGTAGTGGACAATCTGGTTTATGAATTTTTGGTAGCCCATAAGATCTTGGCAAAATTCCATCCGAAACATACAATTTTTTATAGACATCCTGATTTATAAATCCTTTCGATTTCCAACTCATTAATAAAGAACGTGTTAAAGTAGTCATTTTATTAGTCGGGTCTTTTTTTATTTCTCGATAAGTATTACTATCAGATAGAATGGCATTCATTTTCGATACATATTCTTCATAAGATATAATAACAGTGGAATTACCCTTGTCCGCCTTTGTCACCAACAAACATTTATTATTCTTCAAAAACATCTTAAGTTCTCTTATCCCTTGTTTAATAATATTGTCGAACTTGTTATTGGAAATATTATAGTCTATACGATTTAGAACCGTTATTGTGTCCTTCCTAATTAAATTTTTTGTTTTTTCGTCAAGTTTTTTAATGTTATATTCAATGTGTTTTATATATGACTTCTAAACAACGAAGGTTGGTTATATGCTCCTGAAAAGTTTAATTTTTATATATTATTATTTAAACATAATTCATAACAATAGGTAGACGGTCAAGATTTGACCCTCTTCAGTACAATAATACGTTAAAAATTAAACTAATAACCTAATTTGACTAATAACAATAATGATAGATAGTACAAATTTTATATTTCCTTATTATACGGATTAATGTTCACAATCGATCTAAGTGATTCAAGATAAATTTGAAACATTAAAATTAAATCAAATACAACATTCGCCGATAATTATAACGATAGCCTATACGCATTTAATATCATTTAACACATGGATCAATAAGTCCCGAGACTAACAATGAAAACAACATTTTTTTTGCAAAATTTTTTTTTATTCATCAACATAATCACCTTTTAGGGTGATACATTTCAATACCATGTTTATAAAAAAATTTATCTTTCGCTTCAAAATAAGTTTCAGTTTCAGCGATGACCTCCTTATTTGAGCCAAATCTTTTTCCCTGGAGCATTTTTTTAAGATCAGCAAAGAGCCAGTAGTCACTGGGGGCTAAATCTGGCGAGTATGGGGGGTGGGGAAGCAGATCAAAGCCCAATTCGTTCAATTTTGCCATTGTTTTCATCGACTTGTGGCAGGGTGCATTGTCTTGGTGAAAAAGGATTTTTTAAACAAACTACAAAAAGACTTTACTCTAACCTCGATAACTCAGCTGTTTCTAGTCCGATCGACTTAAAATTTTGACACGTTTCAAGCAAAGGTTAGTACTCTAGAAAGACGTGGTTACTGGTTTACTACGAGCGCCATTTCTGGGTTAGTCTCGGGACTTATTGATCCATGTGTTATGTATTCTCTTAACCGCGTCTGTCGCGGTTATTAAAAAACCTGTCAATTCCCTCTCGGTCATCTCAAATCATAGAATTGAAACGGATCACGTAATAGACTAAGTTAATACTAAAATTTTAGATTCTGAACGCTCGCACTATAAAAGATTGGTATCTGAAATGATTTACATAAAAACACAAAAAAATGGATTAAATAAACAGAGTGATACTGATAAGTTTCCGGATCTTTACCTCCCTCTCCTTGAAAAAGAATTTTAGCCCCACTCTAAAATTTTTCCACTTCCTTTTCCTTCTTCTTACTTTCCCCCTTCTTTCTCCTTCGTTCCTACTATAAATAGACCAACACTTTCGGGCTTTGGGCATTGTGAAAGTCAAAATTAATTTTTCAAAAAAATATCACAGTGTTCAGTTGTCTGGAGGAATCCCCGCGCCACAGGATACACATGAGTTTATCAAATTCATTCTAAAGATTTAGAAAAAGGTCTTTAAATTAGCTTTCGTTTGTAAATTTAAACTTTAACATATTTTTAAATTAATGACTTTTTATATGAGAATAATGAACTCACTTATTAAATTAATTTTTGTTTTACAATAGAACTCGGTACTTGTGTGTCTCTTTGCGTGTGGCTCGTCTGCATTTAATTGAAATATTGCTTATATTGAGAATAAGAAGTAATAAAAACCTTGGCAATTGAAAGAATTTTTCTATCCATGTAATTTAATGAATATCATTGCAAATTAATTACATCGACTGCGAACAATTCCGTAAAATAAGGAAATAACAAAATGCGTACAGGCTATCGTTATAATTATCGGCGAATGTTGTATTTGATTTAATTTTAACGTTTCAAATTTATCTTGAATCACTTAGATCGATTGTGAACACTAATCCGTATAATAAGGAAATATAAAATTTGTACTATCTATCATTATTGTTATTAGTCAAATTAGGTTATTAGTTTAATTTTTAACGTATTATTGTACTGAAGAGGGTCAAATCTTGACCGTCTACCTATTGTTATGAATTATGTTTAAATAATAATATATAACTTATTTACATCCTTAGTCGTGGCTGTATGCTCTTTATTATTTAATCTTTGTAAATTTCTTAGTCACTTTCTAATAATTTAAAAATTAAAAACATTATTTTAATTCTTGAATTTCTTTTTAAGATGGTTGTATAGCAAAATGAGTTTCTTAGGTTTGTTTGAAACTTTTACTATTTGAAAATAATGATATTTTCTATACGTACATATCATTTTGAGGGGAAAGTAATCAGGCATGTTCAAAAGATAATTGCATTTGAAGTTAATACTTTTAATATGTGCTAGATAAGGAGTTTTCTGTGCTAAACAAGGAGCGACAGTACATTTAAATTATAGCGCAAAAACGATAATTAGAAATTCGCATAAAAACTAAAGGACTATAGATAAATATAATACGAATCTCCTAAACCGAAGAAAATGGAGGAGGAGGGGGGGGGGATAAGTAAACAAATATTAATTATAAAACCTATAAAAAATTGTTTTATTACTTCACTAATACCTACTTTGTTTATCAACTCATTCTCAAATAGCGGCGCACAATGAGGAAATAAAAATTACTATTGGAAAATAAAAATTATTGTTCAAAAATTGCGATCTGCAGCAATTTTTGAACAGTCATTTTTTGTCACCGCGAACGGTGTCCTCACTGCGCTGATGCTTCGATTGTCCCCTCACAAGCCGTTCCTATATGCGATACAATCACGTTAAAACAAATAATATTAAAAATTCTTACATCCCAGCAATTCTGTATTCTTTTCGCGCTTTTTTTCATTTCTTTCTAAACAAGAAATATAATATACGAGAGAGTATAATTAAAACAGATCAATTTACGCTCACTATGAGCTGATCAGCCGCGGAAGATTTAATCAGGATCAAATGCTGCAAAATATACACATGTACAGTCGTGAGGTTGTCACACTTTTTTTCGATAATTTTCGGAAATACGTAAAAATTTTCAAAGTGCGACTAACTTATGATTGGTTCGACATGTTTTAGCATTTTTAACCATTCCCGTTTTTCTAATGTTTTAGCTATTACAGTTTTTCAATTATATTGATTTCTAAATTTTGTATTTACATTGAAAATGCTCAAATTAGAAAAAAATTTAGTAATAAATACACCTTGTACATAAATACAATAATGTTATTTATTGCACATTATAATATTGTTTAATGCAATTAAATTAAAATTAAATTAAATTAAATTATTAAGTCTAAAACAAAACTATTTTACTTAAAGTGATGTATCATACTACTATCATAATTTTATCATAATATATTTACGATTTTGATAATAAAAGTTTTTTTCACTTATTCTTAAACTTCAAATGCAGTGTAGCAAATTTTGTAAACAATTTTAAACGCAAGTTATAATTAGAATATGATGTGCGAGAAGAGAATTACATTTATTAACTAAAAATGTGTGTAAGTCACATTATGCATTTTTGGAAAATGAGGACTGTATGTGTCTATAAATATTTTCTAAATGTAAGAAAATTTGAAATTCTGTTTACTAATACTTATTATTATTTATTTATATTTATCATTGTTAATTTTATTTTTAAGTGTTTGTACTTTAGTTTAAAACTCTCTATCCTTTTTTGCGCAAAACAATTAAATGAATTGGTATTTTTCGATTTATTCTAACTTCTTGTTAATATCTTTTCTCTTTCTTCAGCAACAGTTTTATTCATAGCCATCATCTAAGAAAATATATTTGTTGAAAACATTTAAAAGTACTTTCTTTTATTAATTTCATTATGATATTACCTGTTTATTATTTACCATAACTTAATCTTCTTTATAACCATTGTTTTTTAATGTATCATCAGAATTTATTGATTATCGATGATGTATTAAGTTCAATAGTTATAGCCGTCTAAGGAAATATATTTATTGAAAATATTTAAATATTTTTTTATTTATATTTATTGAATTTATTGATTTTGCCTGTTTATCATTTAGTACCATTTGATCTTTATTTGTCTTTATTCATATAATGATACGTTTAAGTTGAAAAAAAAGGAAGTATATGTACAATTAAATGAGAAAATATGCCTTAAAAATGTTCCAAATGTTTGAAAATAAAAATGCGTTATAATAAACGCTGACCATTGTGTATTGGTATATTAGCGTCATAGTATAACGACGATCACATAATTCCATAAATAACTACCAGAATTCGTTACTTAATAGCGGAAATATTAAGAGAGGCCATTCGGCGGTCGGTCTTTTTCGTAAGGGATATCTCTAACATTCTATTTAGTGAATATTATTTTATTATATATATTAGGTTAAGCAAAAAGTCATCGCGTTTTTTTAAAAGACATCTATCAGTAAAAACCGCAATTAGTTTCTTACCAACAATATAAATATATCTTGATAGAGTAAAGTTTCAGCTTTAAAAATCTCTTTTTTAAATTATACGATACGACAATTTTTAATGGAGTTATGAGTATTAAAGTCAAAATAATTCTTTTATTTAATTCGCGATAACTCAGTAATCAAAAGTCGTAGGAATATTAAAAAAAAAACGATTTTGTAGGGAAAGTATCAAGCTTTCACGATATGTAATCGAAAATTTTCTCAAATTCGTTTTGGACACGTTACAAATCCACAAAGTGAGAAGAAAATTTTTCGTCTTTTTCAGCTCGTAGTTTTTGGTATGTAAAAATTATCAAACTCATATAAACTTAAAAAATGTGATAAGCTTTTAAAAGTAGAGATTTCAAGCTTTAAAACCCTTTTTTTAAATTTGAATTTCATTCATTATTGACGAAGATATTGTATATACAACTTTGAGCTAAAAAATACGCGATGACTTTTTACTCAACCTAATATATTATCTCTGATGGAAATTTTTTCCTGAATTGTAATGAATAATGATGAAATATTACTGAATTTCAATTTTATGGATATCTATAGCAATTAACTTACTTTCAGTATTATTTCATTATTATTTCATTATAATTCATTAAAGTTTCATTAAGATTTTACTGTTTATTAAGACTCAAAATTTTATTAAGATTTTATTAAGAATTCATTAAAATTTTATTAACAATTTAATACAAAATATTGTTATATTTAGCTTCACATTGGTACAAAAATGCAATGCATGTACTAAAATACAATACATGCGAAAAACATCATCTAACAACATTTCTAGAAAGATAAATTCAACACTTTTCATTACGGTGCAAACTGATTTCCTTATTTTTCATCAATGTATATATATACACACACACACACACACACACACATATATATATATATATATATACATATATTCGAAAATTTATTAAAGTGTATTACAATCTGATGATGATGAAATGCTGAAGGCAGTGCCACATGTTAATTCGCTAAGGATGAAGATGGCTGTCTGACTGAGATTTAACTCAAGCCAATCTGATGATCTGAGAATCAAATGGCTTATTTTATGGACACAACTAAAACAAACAGTTTATAGTAGAGAAATTAATTAGTGAACAGTTATAAAACCAAATATTTAAACCTGAGTTTAGGTGATTGTAAGGGAACAAAAAAAGAAATAAATTATAAAATAATACTTTTAGTATTTATGAAATTTTATATTGTCACAAAAGTAAAATAAATGCAATTAATCAGAATGCTTGGAAAGTCTATTGACTTGAGGTCAATTGGAGGGTATATTGGTGATGTGACTCATAAAGTCCGATGGAGGCTTACCGTCTGGCTTTCTGGTTTCGGATTCGTTTGGATTCTTATAATTTTCCGGTAGTGGATGAGGACCCGGATGAGACAAATCCAATGTTTTGTCCTGAACTACCTTGAAAGAAGCCTTGATGTTGTCTAAAGCATTTCCCAAGCCTGTTTTAATCTGATTGAATTCTTGCGTTACTAAGGATAAGCGGCCGAGCAGATAGTTCAAGTTTTCATCTACTTCCGTCATACGTTTCGTTATTTCGCCTACCTATAGAATTTGAAATATTTAACCAATTAATTTTGCAATTTTGGGCAAATATTTAAAGAAATAAATTTAAAATAATATACATTGGATGTTATTAAGAATGAATCAAATTACTATGTTAATTATCTATGTTAAATTTGCCACAAAAATAATTGCTAAATGAATTTAATGTACCACACACACACAGACACATACACACGTACGCACGCACGCACGCACGCACGCACACCATCAATAAGTAAAATGAAATTATAATAAATCAATGGAAATTTAATTGATCATTCAATTTGAAAAATTATATTAATTTTCATTACTTTAGTCTAAATGTATAATATTTCTTATTACTTTGTTCTCCATTCCACCCATAGTGGATGTTGTGCCGTTAACATAAGCTTCATTCTGTTGATGCAGTTTATCTAGAGCTCGAGCGCTTTCTGTCATCTGTTGATACATTACATTGATCTGTCGCCAAACCTGTAATGAAGTTGGTAACAACAAATCTTGGCAACGACTAGATAGTAGATCAATAATTAGCAAATATCAAATTTTTACTTTGTTCATTTCCTGTTCCATTTTGCTGGTAAGGTTCGCCAAAGCACCGTTTTGATTATCCATAATATCATTTGAGATTCCATCAAATCTTTGACTAAGAGTGCTGTTAATATTAACGCCTTGAGTCTTCACCAAATCGCCCACTTCCAGTAGAATCTGATGTACACCGTACTCTACCCTTTTCTTCGTGTCCAGCACATGATCGGCCATAGAAACCATCACGGATTGACCCTTTTCCAGATTTTGTAGTTCCTGATTAACGCGTTCTGCATTATTGGCCAGATTCATTCTGTTAAAGGGAGTCATTAATTAAAATGAAGAATTAAGTATATTCCTATAAATTTCAATCATTGTTAAATTTAACGATATTAATACTTCGATTTTCGGGGCAGAGCGATACTTTTTTCTGCCAAACTCTTTCCTACTGAAAAAAATTATGTCACGACATTACACAATAAAATCGTGTAATTAAAACATACAAATCACGTAATGAATTGTTCCAAACCAGTACATGATTTTTTAAAATGACTCTCAGTCTGTGTTGATCCGCACTACTGAACGTACATGAAAATCGATACATAATGTCGGTCTTACATATCTGCGCTTCTTCTCACAGTACATATTTCATAAGTTTTTTATTTCTTTTTGGACATATTAATTCAAACTTCTTACACAGGATTTCTGGTGAGTTTTTTATGAAATAATTTTTATGGATTTTGTTTGATTTTCGGTATTTTATATTATTTTATTTATGCGTAGTTGTCGGTAGTACGTTTTTTCTGTTTTTTAATTTATCCTTTTTATTAACTAGAACTTTACCAATGACAATTTTAATACTTTTGACTGTTCAATCATACGGAAATTATGTTTCGAGATCAAGACTCACCCGAACTGTGATTTTTCTGAATATGCGAACATTTGCGACAATTGATTTTATTCTGTTATTTTTTCGTTATACTAATGTCTGAAGAGAGCTCAAACCAGTAGCCGAAACTTGTAATTTATTAGTTTATAGTCTAATTTTTTGCGTGATGTTTCATCGCTGTTAATATAATATATAAGTTTATGAAAATTTTAAAAAATGTGGTTGATTCTTACTTCGCCCGTTGATTGAGTTTTGTTAAAATGACGTCATTTGAAAATCACATGATATTAGAAATAACTTCATCTATCATGTTTATAGTTCTATAGTTGTCAAATTTTAAAGAATTGAATGATAGAAATAGAAGAAAAAAGAATATATCATGTGACTTTTCAAATTACGTAATTTAAAAAAATCACATATTGATTTAGAACAATTCGTTACATGATTACGTGTTTTAAATACACGATTTCATCATGCAACTGTGTGACGTGATTTTTTTTCAGTAGGATTTCGTTTCATGCAACGCGTCAAATGAGCTTAATTTCATCAAAATGGAAGTAGAAGAGGATTCTAAATAATTACTACAAATTATTTATTTATCCCTTCAGATATCAATTCATTTCAATCCTGCTCCGCGCTCTAAAGCACGAATAAATTAAAATAAATTGCAATGTTTAGTTCATTTCAATTCATTTTCGTTTACTAGGCTACCATAGTAATATCACAAATTAAATTGCTTAGCATTATAGATACTCAATCAAATGGCATTATTTTAAGAAGACTTTAATATATTGGAAATCTGTAAATAAATTTTTTGCGAAAAATATTACTTCGGCTGGGAGTCGAACCTGGATCTTTAGCATTACGTGCGAGCGTCCTAAGTTCTAACCTTTAGATCAGCGAGATCTTAAGACGCTTGCATGAAATGCTAGAGATCTGGGCCGGACTCCCGGCCGAGGTAATATTTTTCGCAACATTTACAGATTTTTAATACATTAAGATATTCTTAAAATATCAATTAAACATTAAATTAAATTGCTAATCAATTTTTGATATTAGTATGGCAGTTCAATTGCGTTTCTAAATCCAGAAAACCAATTCAGCGCAATTCGAGAGACTATAAATGTGGTATATAAATTCACATGAAATTATTTAAAACACTTAAAATCCAGCTTCGACCAGTATAGGTCGCCATCACTTTTTACTTATTGTTTATTCATATTATATGATCTTAATACAGCGTTTATTTTTGGCTTTTTATGAAAATCCATTTAATGGTATTAATTTGACATCATTAATTTAGAGTATTTCTGACAAAATTTATAACAATCAGGCGTTGGACGTTAACGTTTAAGTTCACCCATAACTTCTTCTGACTTATTTCTTATTTAATATTTCAAATAAGTTTTCAAAATGTTTATTTTATAAGTCATATCAGATTTTTACCGATCCCTATGATTTCATATTTTAAATAAGTTGTATCAGTTATTTTACCAAGCCGAAAGTACTAAGTTCAAAAGTATTAGAAAACAACCATGCTTAGTATTCATCATATCATAAAATCAGGATTTACCGTAATGTCGTCACTAAATCCTTTGTTTCTTCTTTACTCTCTGTTATGCTATCCTCGATATTATTAATGCCCCGTGTAAAGATGTCCTTTAACGCGTGCTTTGTTTCTTGCAACGTAACTTGCGTCTCGTTGTGGAGCGCCTGAACCTCGTTTATCCTGCATTGTAAAGCGATAATTAGTGTCAAAGTATTAAAAGGATGTTATATGTTCCCATATTCTCAAAATTTCATGAAAAAAATCAAACTTGAAATAAAATTGTTGAAATTTTATTAAAATTTTAACGAAATCATTGGTCAAAAAGTTCCAAAGCTAATACAAAATTCGAATCATCACAATTCTAACAAAATGTCGTTAATTTATCATTACAGAGTATTTGAATTTTTTCGTTATGGTTCCATCAAAAAGTTATCACAATAGGCGAGTTTTTTAATTCATCGATTGAGCATTATGCACAAATGCAACTTTTATAGAACACAATTACATTTGCAATAATGCGATTAATCAATCAATTAATTAAAAAACTCGCCTTATTTCAGTTATTAAGTTCTCATACTTTTTCGTTTAAAAAAATTAGTATTTGTTTAATAAAATTTCATTTCATTTTCATTGAATTCTTATACAAATGTTATTTGTTTTTTATTAAACACAGAAAATTATTTTCTCAACAAAATATAATTAAAATTTCGTTGTATAATTAACAAAATTTTATCAAATTTAATGAAACGTTCAAGTTCATTAAAATTTCATCAAAATTTTATATTAAAATTTTTTCAGAAGAAAATGGAGTATTAAAATCAATTTTTAGAGAAGAAAATCAAATACAAAACGTTTCCATACAGCACAGAAGATTGAAGCAATATTGCTGCAATGTTGCAATGTAACATTGCAAAGATATAAATTAACAATTTGACTGCAAAATGTCAGTAATATGCCTGTAATATTCCAGAAACGTTGCAAAACTGTAATTCTTTAATTGTTACAATAATAATAATATAAAAATATAATTTTTTCTAATATTTATGTATTATAGTACAGCACAGAAAGATTGCAGAAACATTTGCAGAATAATTTCACTGAAACATTGCAATATTGCATGGTGATTGCAAAACGTTGCTAAATCATTGCTGCAAGATTCTAATAATGTTAAGATGTTCGCTTTTTGTTATATTGCAACGAAACAATATTGTAATGTAATGTATTTGGATAAATTTCTTACAAAGACTCTAAAATAAAAACTATTTTCTGTACATATATCTCACTAACTTTAATTTTTTTACAAATCGCATTTCTAGTAATATGTGCTTTCTATAAAGTAATTTCTTTTATAATAAAATCATAAAATATTCCAATAAATGTAGTATTAATTTTGAAGGATAAATTTATTCGTAAGGATAAAACATGTACGTATGTGCCCTGAACAAACTACAAATATTATTTATATTAACATAATAATACAGTCGCTTGGTAAGTTAATCATGGATTAAGTTAATTGTAGTGATTCTTTTTAATTCAAAACTATTCCGAGTCAATTGAACTCGATTAAAAAATGACGGTATCTTTAGTTTAATAGCCGTTTTTATGATATAATAATTAATATAATCTATTTTTATATTCAAATAAAAAATTTATTAATGTATTATTTGACGACCATTTCATTAGCTAAATTTTATATTTATTTTAAATATGAAATCAAAAGATTTTATATAATATCAAATTTGGATACAATCAATGCATCATTATCGCAGACGATAAGACGATAAATAATTAAGCTGCTAAAAATGATTTTTATCGAAATATTAATTATGTGATCGATGATGTATTTGTATGCCTGATGTGAATGTAAGAATAAACCAGCGCCCGAACTTTATTGATAAATTTACTGTCATTTTTTAATCAATTTCAATAGACTTCGAATTAAAAAGAATCACTGCGATTAACTTAATCCATGATTAAGTTGCTAAGCGACTGTATTATTAATGTGAAAAATATTTGTAGTTTGTTCGGGGCACATACATACATGCTTTATTCTTACGAATAAATTTATCCTTCAAAATTAATACTATATTTATTAGAATATTTCATGGTTTTATCATAAAAAAATTGCTTTATAGAAAACACATAACACTAGAAATGCAATTTGTAAAAAAATTAAAATTAGTAAGATATAATATATGTACAGAAAATAGTTTTTTATTTTAGAGTCTTCGTAAGAAATTTATTCAAATACATTACATTGCAATATTGCTGGAACGTTTTGTTGAAATATAACAAAAAGCAGACATCTTAATATTATTGGAATCTTGCAGCAATGATTTAGCAACGTTTTGGAAGGATTAATATGATCATTTAGAGAACAAAATAAATAGGATATCAGTATAAAATAAATTTTATTTAAAAAAAACTTAATAAAAAAACCATGCAATGTTTCAGTGAAATTATTCTGCAAATGTTTCTACAATCTTTCTGTGCTGTATGGGGTTACCTGGGTAATTCTCGTAACTTGTTAGAAGTGCTTTCCAACAGCTCTTGCATTTGTTCTAATGTTCTGACATGATTGTCAAAAGCTGGAGATAAATCCAATTGCCTCTCTGGTCTCTCCTGAATGGTTTGCGTTATCTGTTTTATCTTCTCTAAAGATTTTTCCAGATCTCCGATCTTGGCGGATACATGTTGCACCTATCGGCTCAAAAATAGATTTATATTGTTTATAATTTCAGCGAGGAAAATATATCTATATTATTTTCATTATAAATAAGTCACCTCTGAAAATATCGTATGCGTCTTCTCCATCAGCGTAACAGATTCTCTATTCATCTTTGCTATGTTATTATGCAGACCTTCTTTAAATCTTGCAACTTCTCCCATCAAGTTGCTCTCTATGCCATTTAACTTGTTGAGAACGTCAGAAAGACTATCCGGAGTAGATGTAACTTCTGCACGACTGTTTATCTCTCCTACCTTACTTTCGATATTCGTGAGCCAACCCTCCAAGCGATTCTCTAGGTCTTCTAAACTGTCCACGGTTTTTTGCATCTGTATACGCTCTCGTTCATCCCTCTACATAAAGAAACATCATCAGCCCTCTAAAAATTAATTTCTTATCTTTTGTTCAATGAAATCACCTGTGCAATCAGATGTTCTATTCCTGTGATCTTCTCATCTAACTTGATCAATTGCAGTTTCAGATTGTCTACAACGGTTACACGTTTTGTCAGAATGGTTATTGTCTTTTTTAGTTGCTCACCTAACTGCCGTTCTCTCGCCTCATGCCTTTCCAGCTTCTCTGTGTTCTCTCGCATCATATGTACTAGGCTCAACATAGCATCTTTAATGTCTTCATGACTATAAGGATTGATATGATCATTTAGAGAACAAAATAAATAGGATATCAGTATAAAATAAATTTTATTTAAAAAAAACTTGTTAAAAAGTTTTCTTAGAATTTTTACATATTTTTTCTATATATATAAATAGATTTTCTATATATATATATAAATATCAAAATCTTTTTTAATTTTTTTACAACTTTAATTTTTTTAGAAAATTTCTCAAATTTTTTATATATGTATTTAAAATACTTTTTAAAAACTCTATATCTTTTTTAGAATTCTTTATATAAAATGAGAAGAAAAGATTCCAAAACGATCATATATCTCAGAAAGTGTTGATTTAACAAATGTTTCAAATAAAAATTATTGGGTTTAAAAAATTTATTGATATTTATTTGAACATTGGATGATCTTAAACAACGGACAAGGTCAACAAAATATCTTAAATAAAAACTTCTACTTTTTATTGCTTACTTTTTGTAGCTAATGAGAGGTTTTCAAAACACTAAAACAAAATTTTTTTTATGTATGTATATTTTGAGTCATAATGCTTGAAACTAAGGCTGTCAGGCCTTATCATAAGGCTTATGATACTGACAACTGTATTAACATTATACAAGTTATCCGATTACAATTAAAACCAGAGTCATGATCTTGATATGTAAAATCATATCCACTGGAGATTATTTCTCTTATGTTCATTTTTATTAAAATAAAAAATAAATCATTGTAATTCGAGATGTACTTAAGGTAATACACGACAATACCATTCAAAAGTTAACGCGTCCCATCACGCGCTCGATATCCTCATTCCCGCCAGTGAGAAAAAACTTTTGATCGCGTCTATTCCGCAAACTTCTATTATAACACTAGACTAATTCGTCCCTTTAACTATTGTCAAAAAGTATGTATTAACATACATACACAGAATGAGCATATTTGCATACTGCGCGCTTTCTATACTTTTGAACTGCAGAAACGCTAGATCACCTGACCTGGTATGTCTCTTCTGTTCGTGACGGTCTTATTCTGCGCATCCATTGCTTACAGACAACACTTTTACATAAGAAAAAGTAGGGAGTTAGCACTTTAGCAGTGTAATAGTAAAAGTCTAATAGTCTTGACATACGGAAAGAAAATGAATACAGATAGGCCGTGGTCAAAGTCTCGCTACAAATGCTTTGAAAGAATGTTTGATGGACCAATTCAAAGAAAGAATTTTACAAATTGACCAATATAAAAATGCTTTAAAACATTTGTTGCATCACGGGCATTGACCATATCCATAAACACAGACTAACGCCAGTGACCTAGTTTTCCGAGGATTTAAACCGGATCAGAATATAAAAATCAACCAACTACAGTCGAGCCCTCCCCTGTCGTTCGACTGTAACAGGGGAATACTTGACTGTAGTTGGTTGGTTCTTACATTCTGATCTAGTTTAAACTCTCGGTGAAAACTAGGCTAGTCTTGCCAGATGCTCACTGGCCGTACTCTCTACTTCGTCACAGTATAACTATATAGAGTGCTTTCTATTTAATGACACAAGTCGACACAAGCGTCGTTCTTTGTCAGGATACCATTCCATATACGGAATCAGAAGGGATTTCTTACTATTAGAAATGAGTTACTAGCATTCCGTTCCGTAAGAAGTTTTCTCTATGTGTATCTATATCGGAATCACCGGAATCATGGTCGGAACGATATAGAGACGATACGGAATAGTCGCGTGCGGGATTTCATCGAAGACGGACATTTTCGGTGCTACTTCTTTCTTGAGTGTTGCATCACCCTTATAACCGTTCTTCTCAGAACGAACTAGCAGCTTGATCTGCTCTATATCATTCTTTAATTTATTTTTCTTTCCTTAATTAATGGTTTATTGCGCGCGATATTTATTGGAGACACTTTCGAAGAGGCTCAATGAATGAGTCCTGTAGAAAAGAGGGAAGGCCCGAACGCCCTCCTTCTTCTTCTCCTTCGATCTCTCGCAATGAGATTGTTATTCCACTGCAGGACTTCGAGCAGTTCATACAAGGCAAATTTGGTAAATTCACCAAAGCTGGTGATGATCTTAGCCCGTCTTCCGCCTCGTCATCTGTGTCTAATTCCTCGGTAAACCTGGCGTATTCGAACATAGTCAACTTCGACTATGTCGCATGGAAATCCAGTGATACGCTGTGAATACACAACACTTCTCTCCCTCTAATAAAAAATGCTAGCACACGGCATCGTCGTCACTCGGTTCGCAACAGGTGTCTATGGAAGTTAGTGTTGATAGGAAAAGGCACTTAGATTCAGCTAATACAGGAACTGGCAAGCGTCCTAATAAAGGCTCGAAGCAAAAGATCAATCCAGGCAGCTCATTATCCACAATGACCAATGACAATAATTTTCAGCAAGATAAATCCAAGACTTCAAATAATGTCACTCGTAATAGGTACGATAAGATTGCTCCTCTTTTATCGTACACGTTCGCACAAATACGGATAACGTCACAGAAGCGTTTTTAAGATTATGATAAAAACGCAAATATCTAAGCTTATATACACCGATATCTGCTCAAGGAAAAAGATAGGGGCAAAATAGCAGTCGAGATGCGTTCTGCTATCTCCACTAATGCACTGGTCGAAAACGCTGAGATAGGCAAGCATGGTTTAATGGCGTTCATTCTTACCGCACAGTCCGCTCTGGTATAATTAGAGGTGTACCGATATCGGACAGATTAGGACCTCAAATCAGACTTATGCTCAACAAGTAAAATCATTGAGATTAATAGGCTCAACAAGCGCAGTGTTAAAGACGGTAAAGTCGAACACGTCCTTTCGACAACCATCAATTTCAAATTTGTCAGACAAGTGTTGTCAAGATATGTCACTTTGTATTACAATTTACACGCAGTTTCCCCATTTATCCCAAGAGTAAAATTACGTTTTTCTTGCTACAGAATCAGACATATTGGGAAATACTGTAAGGGCAGCCCTCGATGCAGGCTGTATGGAAAGAATCCACATAAAGAGAGAATAGTATGCGAGAGACAGAATCTGCCTCCCAAATGCATTAACTCTCTCTCTCTCTGCGAGGGTAATCATCTCTCTATTTCATCTATTTGCCCCTTGTTTATTAAACAAAGAAATATTCATGTTTTGACTTCTGCCGAGAACATCTCACTTAATGAGGCAAGGAAAAGAATCCCTCGAGTTCCTGGTTTATCTGACTCTGAGGATATCCCGAATTACAACGCTACACAGCATATGGATTATCGCAGTTTCTCCATGCTTCCGCGATAAAGATTTCTCGAATCCTACTTCCTCTTCTTTCAGTCATAATAAGTTTTCTATATTGAAGAACGAAATGCCAACGCCTACGCCTTATTCAGAGGTAGTTCGAACGTCTGATCCAAAAAATTACAAAGGAGACAGAAATTCTCAAGCATACTCCTTTCGCAACCTCAGGAGATCAGACTCTAAGAATCATAGCTCAGAAAAACTCCTGTCAATTAGGATCCCACAAAATGAGGATGAACCAAGATATCAATTACTAGTGGTTCCGAACGGAAGATCTCCTTCCATCTCAGGTAACGGCATTGTTTTTCATAACGAAGTCTGTAACGATCCAGAATACACTAAGCAAGATCAACAATCTGTAGATAATTGGTCTCTTTCTGGCTATAATTTATTGTTTACTACGTTCATTAAAACTCTGGAGACTTTAATTCTCCAATATTATTTCCTGCAGCCGCTTAATAATATGATATCAGACTTCATTAACACTTTATCCATGCTTACGAATTAATCGAGTTAATTCTTTTCGCCCGCAAATAACAACTACGTCACCCATCAACTACTCAATTTAATATAATTTTAATAAATCACTAAATACATACGTTATGTTGAGAAACTCTAAATACTCCTGCGATTTTTCAGGCATTACACTAGCTAGCTGGAATTGTAGAGGCTTGTGCAGCAAACTCCCGGAAATTCATACCCGACTATGCTTTGGACATTTAGTGCCTACAAGAGACCAAACTTCTCGAAGAGATCTTAATTCACTCTAAAATTTATAAGTTCATTAGAAGCGACATATCTGAACCTGGTCAAAGTGGCATAGCGATAACTATTAAAAGCTCTCTCAAATTTGAGACCCTTGATCTTTCTCAATTCTCCCATAAAACATTAGAGATTTTGGGTGTATGTATTCATATCAACAACTCCCTCTGCCTTAACATCAACGTATATAGACACCCTAACTCTCATATACCTCAAGTAATCTTTGAGCAACTGTTAAATTATGCTTCGTCATACGCGCAAGCATTAATCATAGACGACTTTAACGTCCATTCAATGAATTGGGGATACTTCTCTTCCGATTCAATAGGCAGACGACTATCAAATGTGATTGATAATCAAGGCTTGATTATTTGTAATGATGACAAACCCACGCTGTTAATACCACCTAGCGATTTTACTTCAATTATCGACCTAGTAACCGCCACCACCTATATTTCCTCAAATTAGTTGTAACACAATCACAGACATTTCATCTAGTTACCATTTTCCCGTCTCGATTAGTCGCTGATGCTGTTTCCAATACAATTTAAATATAAAATTAAACTAAATTCTCAACGGTTAAAGACTCTTTCAGTATATAAAAGTTATGCGTTTCGCGGATTTCCTACGTGTCCAGATCCATTCTTAAAATGCCAACGTTTCGTGAACCTTGCAGTCCACTTCATCAGAGCGAAGAGCAATCTGATACTGAGCTGTTTCTCCGGACCATTCCTTTTTATATTACGCTACTTGTTGGAGTGATGGGGGGAAAGAAGAGAATTGTGGGTGAGGGGAGGGAGAGAGGGGGGAATTGATCAGTCTTCAATAACCGGGAGAATGGTTTTCCATATTTTATTTATGTTGTAGCCATTACCTCTATTTAGATCGTCAGGATGTTTTTATATCTCTATGGCTTCTCTATACTTTCTTGGAAAGTATGAAGTAATGTTGGCTACTGTGGTC